GTCCGTCGGATCGTCGAGCTCGATTTCCTCCAGAAGGGTTGCTGGTTCTAGATGAGCGTCCAAGTCGGCCTGTTTGGCCTTTTCGGAGATGCTGTTGACCCGAGCCTCCCGCTCGTTGAGCTTCTCCATGGCCTTCGTGTAGCAGGCCCTGGCCATATGTGGGTCCGTACGTGCCACCCCCACCCCAGTGTCGGTGGGGAACTTGATGCATGAATGTCGTACGGAGCATATGGCCCCCAAGTCTTCCAAGCCGGGTCGGCCCAAAATGGCGTTGTGGGCGCACCTTAGGCGGACCACGACGAACGTCATGCTGATCCGGGCAGTGTGAGGACCGTCGCCGACCTCTACCGGCAAAATGATGGTGCCCTCAGCGTCAATGCAATCCCCGGTGAAGCCGGACAGCGGGGTGCGTAGGGGGTGCAGCATGTCCTTCCGGAGCCTCATTCCTTCGAAAGCCTCCCAGTAGAGGACGTTCACACTGCTCCCGGTATCAACGAGGACGCGACGGACGATAGCATCGTTCACGTCCATGCTGATCACCAGCTCGTCTCTGTGCGGCGCCGGTGACATTGGCAGGTCGGCGGGGCCGAAGGTAATTGCCTCGACTCTATTGCGCTTGGTGGGGGGTGCCGATACGGAACCCACATAGAGTGATCTCTCAAATTTTTTCCGCTCGGCGGGTGTATCCCCTGTCTCAGCGCCCCCGAAGATCACCTTGATCTCCAACTTCTTTTTCTCGCCCTTCGGGCCGAGGGATCCCTCCGGACGTTTATCTGCACTTCGATAATCCACGTCCTGAGGTTCTGCCTCGCGCCGATCGTCGCGGCGCCATGTCTTGTGCCTTGAGTTCGGCTTCTGCTGGCTGTTTTTGTTCAGCAGCTGGGCGAACTCGCCCAGGTACCCCTGACGGATCAGCTCGTTGATCGCTTTCTTTAATTGGCTGCAATTATCCGTCAGGTGGCCGGTCCTCTGATGGTATTCACAGTAGGCCGATTGGTCGTGCCCCATATACCTCTTCATATCTTGGGGCTCCATAAGGAGGCCCTTGTCCTTAATGGCCTCGAAGATCTGGCTCACTGGGTAGGCCAAGGGAAAATAACGGTCGTCCGGCCGCGTTTGGCTGTCTCCGGACGGAGCCTTCCAAGGGACCATTGCCCCGTCCACCTTCTTCTTTTTGTTTGGGGGGGAGGGGTTGGTTCCTGGTCCGGGTCCGAGTCTGTCTGCCATCTTCCGTGGCTGGGCCGCGGGAATTCCGTCCCGCTGCCTGATCTCCTCCTCAATGGAGGCATACTTCTGGGCCCGAGCAAGAACCTCGGTGTAGCTGGTGCCGGGATTCCTCCTTAGGTCCCGGTATAGATCCCCCGTGGCCAGCGCACTGGTGAACATGTTGGCGGCCAGACGTTCGTCCAGATCGTCGACCTGCAGGACCTCGTCCCTCCACCTTACCAGGAACCTAGCCAGCGGTTCGTCCCGCCCTTGTTTGATGTGGGCGAGAGCCGTGACGTCCTTCCTGGGGGTGGTGCTGGCAGCAAATTGTGCCATGAACTGCCGGGAAAGCTGTTCGTATGAGTCAATGGTGCCTGGCCTCAACTGGCCGAACCATTCCTGAGCTGGCCCCCTGAGGGTGCTGAAGAACAATCTGCAGATGGCCTCGTCCGATGCTCCCAGCATGGACAGGTTCCCTTGGTAGCTTATCAGATGGGCCTTAGGATCACCAGCCCCATTATACACCAAGTTCCCCGGGGGTCTGCAATCCCGGGGAATCTCGACGCTCATCACCCGTGGGGTAAAAGGTGATGTGAGAGAGAACGAGGGTGTGGCCGAGCCGGCGTCCGCCCGCCTGTTCATCTCGGCTATCTGCCTCTCCATGGCCTCCAGCCGTGCGTCCTGTGCGGCCCTTCCGGGGGACACAGGGGGCGCGGCTTCGGGAGTGGCATTCTGCTGAGCGGCCACAACATCGTGCGGCCGCCTGAAGATCTGTGCACCTCGCCGCTGGAAACGTCGTCCAACGGTGTTGACCCTTGGGGTCTCGTCTCCCCGCGGAATCTGGCGAGGAGCCGATGGTGTGAGAGCCCTGGATGCCGCGATGCTGACCCTGGTCCGCCCTCCCGTTTCACGGGAGCCTGAACCCCCACCTAGCCGCTCGTGGACTGAGGGCCGGTGGTCACTGGATCCCGTCGTATCATCGTACGACTGCATGCGGCGTATGGGAGAGAGGGGCGTTCGCTGAGTGCTTGCAGAGTACACCTGCTCTCGGGCCTCCCGCTCGTCCGCCATGCGACGCATGGTGTCTGCGAGTTCACGCATGAGGCGGGGATCCTGCCTGGCCTCCAGAGGAATGAGGTCAGTGATACCCCCGTTTCCCCCTGAAGTCCATATTGTCGCGGATAATTCCGAGTTCTGGCCGCGATTCCGGCGGCTCGACTCCAGACGCTCGGAGAGATCACGCTGGGTGTTGCTTCCTGACATCGTATTTGCTGTGGGTAGATTTAGTAGCTGTTTGGGAGAGTTTCTGGAAACTTTTTGCTCAGTTTCCCACAGACGGCGCCAGTGTTGATGTTTATTCCTTCAACCCTTGGACCCAACACGTAAGCCCAAAGATTTCGAGTGGAGTGAGTGTGTGGTTATCTAGCCCAACAACTATTAGATGAATCAGGAAACAAGAGTAATAGCAGGCAATGTAAATAGGTATTATTAACTTCGTAATAACTCCCCTAAGTACAATCTACTTGCTAACAAAGGCACGTCGGCCGTTCGTCTTACAAGGCAGTTAGAAATGCTGCGAGTAAGAGTGCTGAAGCTAGTATGCTAAGAATAGAAAGTTGCCAACCCCTTACAATGAAATAAATGCTTCTATTTATACCCGCCAATGGGCAGGTGGCTGTACTGACGTGGCAGCCTGTGGACCGCTGGTGTCCCAACTACCAAATCTTTAGCATTAAATGCACTTCCCGCCAGAATCTAGGTTTCCCGCCGGAATAGTGGGGACGTTCGTCCACCCGGGAAGTGAGTTGGATTCCTCCAAGTGACCCTTGAGGGATATTGGCTGTTCGTCTCCTGGCCTTGATGGATTCTCACCATGTGGGCTGGGTCTCCTCCGATGACTATGGGCTTGCTCAGGAGACGTTCGTCGTCACCCCTGATGGCCCGTGGCTCCGCTCCTTGTCCCTGCTTAGACGTTCGTCGGGATGAGCCGCTGGGCCTGAGTCCTCCAACACCAGACGTTCGTCCATGCTTAAAGTACATGGGCCTGTGGGCTGGCCTAGTTTCTAGCTGGACGGTCGTCTGGCAAAATGGGTTAGTGGGCCGGACCTCGGCTTGGGCCCTTAACCCAACAATTACTTTTATTATTACTATTACTATTACTATTACTATTACTATTACTATTAGTTATTACTATTACTATTACTATTACTATTACTATTACTATTACTATTACTATTACTATTACTATTACTATTACTATTACTATTACTATTACTATTACTATTACTATTACTATTACTATTACTATTACTATTACTATTACTATTACTATTACTATTACTATTACTATTACTATTACTATTACTATTACTATTACTATTACTATTACTATTACTATTACTATTACTATTACTATTACTATTACTATTACTATTACTATTACTATTACTATTACTATTACTATTACTATTACTATTACTATTACTATTACTATTACTATTACTATTACTATTACTATTACTATTACTATTACTATTACTATTACTATTAGTATTTTTATTATTATTATTATTATTATTATTATTATTATTATTATTATTATTATTATTATTATTATTATTATTATTATTATTATTATTATTATTATTATTATTATTATTATTATTATTATTATTATTATTATTATTATTATTATTATTATTATTATTATTATTATTATTATTATTATTATTATTATTATTATTATTATTATTATTATTATTATTATTATTATTATTATTATTATTATTATTATTATTATTATTATTATTATTATTATTATTATTATTATTATTATTATTATTATTATTATTATTATTATTATTATTATTATTATTATTATTATTATTATTATTATTATTATTATTATTATAATTATTATTATTATTATCATTTATTTTTATTATTATACAGAGTAATTATAATTATAATTACAATTATAATTATTGTTATTATTATAATCAGTGTAGTAGGTATAATTTTTCATAACTTTAATTATATTTATAATTCTGCTTATAATTATAATTAAATATTTTTAGAATTATGACTATAATCAAAGAGATTCAGATCAGATCAGATCAGATCAGATCAGATCAGATCAGAACTTAATAAATTCAGATCAGAAACATTTGGATCAGATGAAGAGAACAGCTTCTAAGACCCTTTAAAGACTTTGTAAATAGCAGAAGTGTTTTCGATTGCTTCTACATCAAAAAGTGATTTTTAAATGATTTTGGAGAAAGTGCATAATATTTAATAGTAAAAGTTGACAGTGTTTGAAAAAAAGTGTTTCTGAAAAAGTAAAAATTTGGTAGTGATTGATAATAGAAAAAGTAAAAAACAGTTTAAAACACACTTCCGCATGCTTTCAACTTTGAAATGTTTAATTTAAAAGTAAATCATACTAGTAGTAATACTTAAGTAAATCATTTATGGGGATGTTTGGAACTGATTCTGCTTCTGCTTCTTTTTTAAAGCAGAAGCAGAATCAGAATCTGTTTTTTTAGAAGCTTCTTTTTTAGAAGTTTTTTTAAAAAACCTGATTCTGCTTCTGCTTTAAAAAAGAAGCAGAAGCAGAATCAGTTCCAAACATCCCCAAATGATTTACTTAAGTATTACTACTAGTGTTGTTACTTTTTTAGTATTTTAACTTTTAAATAAATCAAATCAGTATCAGAAGTGCTTCTGGAATTTAGAGTATCAGAAGTGCTTCTGGAATAACACTTCAGTTTCTTTTATTCAGTACCATTAACCTGTGTTTGTCGTTTCATGCAGTGGAGTAGCTACTCCTCTCCTGCACTCAAAGTTTCTCGTACTAGAGAAGTGGAAAAGGCTTAATGCGTTGTTGGTTTCCTCGAAATTTTGGAATCAACTGACCAATAGAGCTGTTTTCAGAATTTCAGAATTTCAGAATTTTGTCGAGTAATGATTACAGGTCTTCTGATGAAGAACAAATACAAACTAGAAATGGTGTTGTAGGGTTTGCAGTAGAATCCTGTAGCCGATTCTCCAGAGAGGAATGTCACGGATGCTTGGTGCCACTGAACAGGCGGAACAGCTTAGGCAAAATGGAAACCACTGCTTCCAGAAGAATCGATTTGCTGCAGCTATCGATGCCTATACCGAGGTAGTTTTCTCATTGGTTATGAATTTCTCTTCCATTTTAGACTAAATTTTTTAGTTCAACTTTGTTTGACTAGTGTAGTGCCTAATCTTCAATTTCAGGCGATAACTCTATGCCCTAATGTTCCTATATATTGGACAAATCGTGCTTTATGTCATCGCAAGCGGAAGTACGTATGAATCTCCTTGTTGCATTACGTTATACGGAGTATTTTTTTTGGAAATCAGTCATGTTTTGCTATGTCTTTCCTTCTTTGGCAGTGACTGGACAAGAGTGGAGGAGGACTGTAGGAGAGCGACTCATCTTGATCAGAACTCTGTTAAGGTGTGTGGAGAACTCTTTCCTTAAAACGCACTGAATGTCACATTTCTGCAAAATCACGCCTCCATTGCACACACAGTGCCTCTTAGCTTCCATTTCTTTAACTTCTAAAAGAGATAATCTTAAACATTTAAGCCATATAGTGACACTTAAAAGGTCGTTGCTAATAATCTCAACATCTCCCCAGAACAATGATGACAATTAGCGTTATTTCTTACCAGAGTGATAAGTAGTAATTGACCACTCTTTGGCATGTGGAATAGGGAGTAATTTCTAAGTCATCTCTAATCTGCTTACTGTGGATGAATTTGTTAAATCTGATAAGGTTACCTTGGAAAGAAATGAGTGCAAGTTGGACTGTTGGAGAATAAATAGTATGGCAAACCTTTACTATACTGTCTCAAACTCTCGTCAAGTATTCTCTTTTATAATTTCGGATGAAGCAAATTTAGTAGAAGTAACACTACATTACAGCCAAAAAAGATAGAACTAACATTACATCTAAAGTTCAGATCTGGGTTAGTTAATCATGGATTCTTCTGTATAAAGATGGAATTATATGTGTGCATTACATTTATTTAAGGTTAAACAAGGTTTTTTTATTGATCGTTGTTTTCAATATCCACTGTTATGAGCAATTGTAAAGATGTCTTGCTAATCTGTAGATATAAGTTTGTCAATAGAGTTTATGGTTCCTGAATGTATATTTTGAGTTTTTCTTTCATAGTATATACGGAGTACTATTGAGACCTTATCTTGCCTCAAAACACTTGGGAATAACATTTTATGAGACAGTTGAATCGAACAACTTGTATAAGCAAGCTTCTTGATTTCACTGGAAAACATTAACTATCTATTCATTCTAACTGCACCTTAGTTTAGACATGTTTATTTGTCATGAAGTCCTTTTCCCTACTTGGGGTGAAAAAAATACTCATCCTCGTGATGCAATAAATGCCGTCCTTCTTCTTCTTCTTCAAACAGGCACACTATATGCTAGGCCTTGCCTTGCTACACAAAAAGGAATATGCTGAAGGAGTTAGAGAGTTGGAAGGAGTATTCTTTGTCCTCCCTTCTTTCACAAACTAATTAATACCCTGTTCATTTTAGCATCATGAATCATGATGTTATTGCATGTTATTGCAAATGTGCTTGAATTATTGAATCTGGAACTGATTTTGTAAAACTATTCAATGATCATTTTTGTACGGAGTATATGTTATGTCTTATATGGAAGGCTGGTTAAAGAGTGAAAGGCTGAGTTAGGTCATCAACTTATAGTGTTACAGCTGTTGTTAGTTTTAGATGTATTTGATGTGTATTCATACTCTAGAAGATTGGGTTCAAGTTAAAAAAGAAAATGTATCTATATTATCATGCTTACCCTTAGCAAAGTGTACTCTTCTCGTAAGTTACCTTCTTCATATGATCTGTGTAATGATCAGATTACTCTGTGATTTGGCCATTTTTTGGTTTTAGGATCCGTTTGGTAGTCATAATCGGGTTATTCTCTTACAAGTGGACTAAGTAGCTTTGTTGATACATATTTGGCTAAACCGGATGTTACTAAATGGGTCATTAGTGAGAGACAGAAACACAACGGTGATTCTGTTTCCTGCATGAAAGTGTCCAATGCATTTTATTTAAATCATAATGATTTAAAAGAATTGTATTACTTCCTCTATCTTTATTTTGCATTTTCGAGTTTTCTGCCCTGAGGAACTCCATTTTCATTCTTAATGGAATGGAATTGAGTTAACATAATACAATAGTATAACTTTTGAGTATGCTACATGCCTTCGTGACATTAGAAAACTAAAACATAAAAAAAATAAAGGAAAAAATGGATAGAATTACTTATTAGAAAAATTAATGTTACCTTAGGATGGTTACTTCTGGGCTGAAGTGTACTAATAATTGGTCTATTTGTTCATGAGTTTTGGGCATGTTGCTTTTTAGCAGACATGTGGACATATACTTGACTATTAACATGGCTAATCATTTTAGGAAGGCAACGTAAGCTGATGTTATTTTCTTACTATGCTATGTCAAGAAACAATTATTTAACTTTAGCAATTATTATAACTACTTAATTTATCATCCAAATATTTCTGTTCTGCAGTAAGTAGATTATTACATAATTTCAGGCATTGGATCTTGGTAGAGGTGCTGATCCTAAGGGTTACATGGTAGAGGAGATCTGGGAAGAGCTTGGAAATGCAAAATATTTGGAGTGGGAGCATGAATCTTCAGCACGTGCTTGGGAAAACCAGAATTTGAAGTTGCATATAATTTTTTTTCATAATATCAAAGTTTTATGTTTCTTTCCATCTTTTTGTAGTTTTACTGTTTACTGTTTTGTTCCGTGTGGCACAGAGAGGCTTGTGTGGCAGCTCTGAAGGAGAAACATTTAGTCGATAGCTCAAAAAAGAAGTTTAAGGAGGGACCTAAATATGAACGGATAAATTCTCTGGTCTCTCTCTCAGAGCAAATTGAAGCTTTAAATTTAGTGTTTGAGAGAGCTTCTGAAGATGATACACCAACTGAGGTGCTTGTTTTTCATTGACTATATTCTTTTTGGCTCTCCCCTGTCACATATACATGTTGTGCATAACGTTTAGCAGAGGACTTGCAGGTTCCTGATTACTTGTGTTGTAAAATAACACTAGAGATTTTTCGTGACCCTGTCATTACACCCAGTGGGTTTACCTATGAGAGGGCAATTATCCTTAACCATCTGCAGAAGGTACTATCTTAATTTGCTTATGGCTAGTTTTTTTTAATATCCACAAACATTCACACCTAGTTTATTTTTGGACAAGGTGGGTAACTTTGACCCAATTACTCGAGAACCAGTCAACACATGTCAGTTGGTACCCAATTTGGCTATTAAAGAAGCAGTTCAAGTATACTTGGCTAAGCACAGATGGGCTTACAAGTCGGAATAAAAGCTCACTGGGTCACAGCTATATTCAATTCTCCCAGGGTACCCTTAAGTGTAAGTTCGCTTGTAATGTCAAGCAGATGGTTGGCTGTATAGTTTCTAGTATCGTCTGCTCCATTATTGCTCAATTAAACTGTGTACAGTATTTTGAATTATGAATGATGTGTGCTATGCAGGGAAGTGACCCTATTGTTATCTATTACTACCCCGCCTACTGGGGGGGGACCAACTTTGAACTAGAACTAGTTGCACTAATTGTGTGTATGTATGCATAGACCATCCGGGGGCTATAAGTGATACCATCAGCCAGCCATTATGGGCACATTTAAGCTAGACATTACAGTTCCAACTTCCATCACGAGACTGTTCAAAGGGGTGGACACGGTCCTGTTTCTTGACCGATGGCTGGACTTGGACTAACTAGTTATTCCATTGAACCGTGTCCGGTTGATGCAGAATGGACCGAAATGTACCCATATCCCACTTCTGGTCCCAGTCCCGGTGCTGGACCAGGACCAGAATTAGCATGTGGTAATTCCCCTCTTCTGTCGAAAGGGTCCCATGTGCTCCACAAATACTGTTCGTGATGAGCCCATGCACAAGAAGAGTGGGAATAAAGTTCACCATTGCATGTGTCATGTGATAATTGGGTTAGGCAGAGAATGGATAAGAAGTGTGGAATGCAGAGACACGTGTAACTTATCATCATGTGTAAGTTACTGCAAAAAGTATGGCAGAAACTTTTGCTATTGCATGAACAAATGCATTATCAGTGAGAGTATACTGATTGCTCATATCATGTTTTCAATTATTTGCTGCTGCTTCACCACACCACAGACAGCTGGGTTTGCAGTTAAGAAGAGTTAATGATCCATAATTAGAAACAAACACAATAGGTGAGTGCCCCCCTTTTTTGTTAGCTGCATTTTTGGAGTGATCTTCTTAATGTACTCTTGTCATCACACCAAATTACAGTAACAATGTCCATTCTCAATAGACATTTGATTGAATTATATGCTGTTTGATTGCCTTGCAGTGTGTGGGGACATAAAAAAGGGATATCGTTAGAGGCTTAGAGCTAATTATCTTTGTTATTATTATAGGCATAATAATAAGCTCTTGTAGTTTGTACAAGCAGGCTTATCATTCACCACTACTCACATGGTAGACCCGATTGGTCTATAATAGGCTTGAAACCTACCATCAAAAAACACCCAAGTGAGTGGTGTTCTTTTATTGGGTAATTTTATAAACAAAACGAGGGAAGAAAGACACATGTTCAGCATTATTTGTCCTGGACGATGAAAGGCCTAGATTGAAAGTTTGAAACAGGTCAAATTTAATGGGAGTAATTACGATGTGTTATTTCACGTTTGGGGTAAAACCGGTCGACACCATGCGAAAATCTCGGTAATGAGGTTTCTCGAGGAATCCCAGTGGCTCCGCGTGCTATGTTTTTATAGTCTTGTACTCTTGTCCCATGACAAATGGTAAAATAATTGGGAAAAAGTCTTGGGCGTGTGTACTGTGTACACAAGCAGTTTGTTCGTAAATTACCGTGTGTACATATAACTAGGTCGTGTATAACAAATGTAGTGCTGGACTCGGTTCGGGCTGGGCCCGGTTCGGGCCTTGAACCGGCCGGGCCTCGGTTCACCAAAAGGAGGGCCCGGGCCCGAACCGGCAGGTGACCGGTTCCGGGCCAGACCGGGCCGGTTCACCCGCCCTTTTTTTTTTTTTTTTTTTTTGGCTTCTCTTATTTAACCCCCTACCGCTCCCCCTCAACCCCAAACCACCCCAAATGGCCCAAAATACCTAATCCAACCCAAAAATTAAAAAAATTTCAAAAAAAAATTAAAAAAAAAAATTATTCCGGCCCGGACCGGGCCCGAACCGGCCGGGCCGGTTCACCAAATAGAGGGCCCGGGCCCGGAACCGGTATCCACCGGGCCACCGGGCCGGGCCGGTTCACACAGTAACCGGGCCGGGCCGGGCCGGTTCCGGTTCGGGCCGCCCGGCCCGAGTCCAGCACTAAACAAATGTGTACAAATTATGTGCAATTAGCATCCTTCAAAATAATACCAACAATATTATACGTAGTAATAACTAAGATATCATAAATGTATAATGTTTAAAATTGGATTTTTAAATTATCAATTAAGAGTGCTTATTATTATTATCTAAAATGAAATGTTAATCAATAAGTTGGATGCCGAAAACTCCAAAAGAGATACGTAGTAAATGATAAATGAGATGAATGGATGATAATATGATATTAATACTAACAATACTTAAATTAGTATATAAACAAAGTGGAATTGTGTAAAACATCATCTAAGAAATCAATAATAACATTACAGTTTAGAAACTTAATTATGGCTGGACTCGGGCCGGTTCGGGCCTGGGCCCGGCCGGGCCTCGGGCCAGAAAACTAGGGCCCGGGCCCGAACCGCCGGTGGGCGGTTCCGGTTCCGGTTCCGGGCCAAACCGGGCCGGGCCGGGCCGGGCCGAACCGGCCCACTTAATTTTTTTTTTTTTTTTGATCTCCTATTTAATCCCCTACCCCTCCCCCTCAACCCCAAACCATCCCAAACCACCTCAAATGGCCCAAAATACCTAATCCAACCTAAAACTTAAAAAAATTTCAAAAAAAAAAAAAAAAATTAAAATCCGGCCCGGACCGGGCCCGAACCGGCCGGGCCGGTTCACCAAAACCTGGGCCCGGGCCCGAACCGCCCAGCAGCCGGGCCGGGCCGAACCGAACCGGTGGACCCACCGGGCCCCGGGCCGGGCCGGGCCTAACAGTAACCGGGCCGGGCCGGTTCCGGGCCGGGCCGCCCGGCCCGAGTCCAGCACTAAACTTAATGCAATAGATTACCCGTACTAGTAGTAGACTAGTAGATTGGGGGTAACCAAGGCAACAGCTTAAACGATTTTACTATAAAGATTTGTATTCGTTTACCCCATCGACTTCACATTTAAATTTTGTGGGACTCAGATCATGACCAAGATCTGAATTGTCGAATTCATTAAACGTTTCATATTGTCCTAATAATCTAGACAGTCACATTCCAAGCACATTGTGAGATTACCTAGATCGAATGGAGAAGCCCGTTTGTATTCGTGTTATAAATACCATATCAAAAAGAAAAAAATATGTGTACGATAAAAAGTATTCATAGTCAATTCTTTTAGAAAAGAGAAATGCTAGGGTATCCCATTTTGCCTACTACATTTGCATACATTGTCTGTTTAAGCAAACAAAATTGTCTGTATATAGAGATTATAGACAACTTTGTAGTTGCGAACAGAGTTATATCAATATAAAGACAAATCTGCTTGTGTAGATAGACCATGTGTGCTAATAAGGTATAGAAAATGAAATACTAACATTTTTGTTTAGAAAAAGTCAATAATTGTCTATATATATAAAGGTGAGTGTAAAAGAAGTATACATTTTTTTGTGTATACCAAGATTAGATGCATCAAAAAAGATTTTACATTCCACTTTCACAAGATTTTTGCTGTGAGAAATCCAAATAAGAGTTGAAGCATTTGGAGTCTGGAGACCATACGTTCAATCTAGCGTGAAGATGCCATCGCATCAGCAATATAGGGGTGGGGTCCTGGGTAGGGGTGGGGTGGGGAATCAGAAGAAGACAATCTGACACTCATGAAGATGGAAGCGAATCTTGTGTTTTTATCTACTTCATTCATTTTTTATTATATACTCCGTACTTCTCACAGTAACTGGAAGTATGGAACAAAAAAGGGTCAAATTCATAAATCCCACTCCTAGTACTCCGTAATAATTATCTCGTTTAAACTAAAATCTAGTTTAAAAAAGATTAATCAGTAAAATAAGGCATTGAATATTTATAGTACTACCGGTATGATGAATTTTCTTCGTAAACGTTTGTTTTAGATGACCGACATTTAGCCATCGTGTTCTGCTTTCCTTCCCACTAGAACTTTTTTTTACATAAACGCCACTAACGTCACTTTGATGCGTTCTTTATCAAACAACTTTTTAAAAATCATTTCTTTCCTACAAATTCCCATGGAGATTTTCAACCATAGTTTCTTCATTCAATTATTACAATCGATAGAAACCAATCATCGAGCTGATCCCAACTTTTTCTTCGTTTGTTAAAAAAAATGGATTATTTCTCCCCACACTTATAGATAGTAGCTCTTGTGGTCCTATATGCTTTATTGCGTTTAGTTTGACGAAAATAGTGTTTACCTCTACACAAACTAAAAGTTCATTCATTAGTCATTAACTTTGGTCGATGGGGGTTTTCCATCTAACCTTACTAGACTAATAGAAATACTCCATCTAATACGATACTATGACTCTCATGGAACATGCTTTTCCTATTGGTGAAGAAATCCGGAAGCCGACAATTTTGGTGGCAATGGTAATGGATTAGGAAAAGAGAAAAGGATGACCCTCCATCCATGAGACCCTCCGGCATTTGTCATATTAAGATGAGGAATTGGGAACATGAGATATTGGGATATTTTATGAGATTGGATTACATGATTATGTCTGGTATTTAGGAAGATTCGGATATTTTATGAAAATATTAAAAGTTATGTCATATTAAGATGAGGAATTGGGATATTTTTATTAGACTAAAATTTTCTGATTTGTTCTGTCAATACATGTTTGTTATATTTGTATCTAACAATCGTCTGAATCTAGTCTAGTGTATTTAAGTTGATGTCAGACGGAAACATGTCAATTAAAAACATATTAACACGAAGTACATGAATTGTAATCCTACATTGGTTAATAGATCTAAGAATCCTATTTAAGAATCACATGTCTGGTTAGTTTTGTCATCATATATTTGCTATCGATATGTGTACCTTAAGCTATGTCCTAATCACATGAATCTACAAGTACCATAAACTTCATTTTATTTTGTCTGTAATAAAATAAATCTAAAAAGAATCTGAATCTAATTAATGAAACTAAGTTATATTCATGAAAATGACTAGGTCCATCAGGGCATCAACATTCAACAACAACTTAGTACTACTTCCGTCCCATATTTATCTTCATAGTTCGGTTTACGATGCTTGACTGACGATAAAGCAATTCGATCCCTGTTCACACTCGGAATATTTTTAGTAAATAAAATTTACATATTCAGAAACTACATTAAAACCGCTACAAAGCCTGATCAAGAAAATTTAAGTTTGATAAAAATTTGATATATAAAGAAAAAGATTAAGAGTAATTTGAGTTGACCATGTGAATAGTAACTATGAAGATAATTTTGGGACGGAGGGAGTATTCATTACTTCTTGAGTTGGAGAGGACCACAAGGACAGACACTTCAAATATGGGGCTAATCTATGAACCACTTGGGTGATTGTGATCCATTCATTAAACCATCCCTAAAACTTGCTGTCATTTTTTCCTCAGCTGCCTAAAACATCATATTGACTACGAGTATGAAGTTTAAGATCTTTTTCTAGGGGCAAAAGAAACATTATGTGATCACCCTAGGAGTGAGGGAAAGAACCATCACACTTATGCCAGTCTAAAAGGCCTACCATGTGGACCTTAATATTATATTATACGGAGTATTATGAAATAATAATAATAATAATAATAATACGAGTAATACGTAGTACTCGTAATATGTAAATCCAAAGGAATATAGTATCTTTTAAGTTGGCCATACAATTAAATTATTACTCCGTAGTATAAAAACATGCTTGTAGACAAATAAAGGAATCCTCGTTTGCAGCTTTATTTGAACTTCGAGCAAAAATCACCCAATCAAAGAATCCATGTGGATCAATTATTTAACAAGCTTATAAATAAACCATAAAAAAGCTACTCCGTAATACTACGTAAATAAACAAAAAACCAAAGATCCGTTTGGTAAGGTTTAGTTGGCTCAATTTTCTGAAAGGAAGGTGTTGGTGACATCCATTATAGCCAAAAGTCAAAAGTAAACTAAGGCATTTCTTACTGGCTACCAAATGGAGCCAAACAAGCATGCACAAATCAGGCAGTAATAAACCATCATTAATGAACAAGCAATGTAAAAGACATAATGGAACTATTTATAAAACTTCCAGTTTAATTACACATAGATAGGCATGGTAAGCTCAAGATACGAATATACAGAACTAAGTTTACCCCAAAATGACCAAAATATCCCTCAAAAGAGATATTATTATGTAAAAGTTTAAGAAGGTGAGGAATTTACACTCTTTTTTTTAACAAGGTACCAAAGGCTTCCTTCAATTCATGCAGTATGGGTGAGATTGTGACCCCTACTGAGTCTGCCAAGGATCCCACTTGCCTTCCTCTTGGCTCTTGAAGTCCCATTCTGAGCAAGCTGGGAGATAGTCCTGTACATATTCTCTGCTTCCCTAATTGCCCTCAACTTGGACCTGTCCATGAAACAGATGCTATAGAGTATAGCAACACAGTTCTCTTTGTTTCTTTCACAAGAACTCTCCCTCATCAGACTAAGCAAGCATGGGACCCCTCCAAGCTCCCCAATTTCCTCAACCGCCCTCTGATTGGTCGAAAGCATTGCCAGAATGGACAGCAATTCGTCCACGTGGACCCCATCTTCAATCTTTTTCAAGAGAACCCCCACCGCCCCATCCCTTACCGCCCTCACCTTGTTTTCATGGAGAATACAGAGGTTAAAAATGGCCGATGCCGCGTCTTTGATCGCCAGCGAATGCCCTTCGTCCAGAAGCTCGATTAGCGGTTTTAACGCACCGGATTGCCCGATCAGCGATTTGTTCGAGTCGAGAGCAGATAACGTGAAGAGAGTAGCTGCAGAATTGCTCCTCGTCTCAACCGTGCCTGACCTTAGCGCGCTCATCAGAAGAGGTATCACCATAGGAGTCTCCGCGACGAGCTGTTTGTTGTTGTCGTGAATCGAGAGGTTCAGTAAGGTTGTGATCAGATCTTCTTGCAGGTCGGGGTTTATGTCATTCTCGGGATTCAGTTGGGATAACGGGCCTAGCAGCTGAGGAACTGCGTCGACTGATTCACCAAACAAGGCCCGGAACGACGGCATCCGTTTCGTCAGCAAACGCAATTCTCTCGCGGCGCCTTTTTGTTCGGGCAGAGTGGAAGACATTTTTCCAAGCAGGGATAGGAAGTGGTCTCGGTCAGCTTCCGTTACGGCGTCATCCGTTGAAGCTCCGTGCGGGTCCGGAAGTTGGATCCCGTTATTCTTGCACCATTGGTTGATCAGATCAGAAACCAAGTGATTGGGTGTGAGTATAGTGTGTGTGAGGACTTGTTGGGTTCTTGGGCACGTTCGGTTCCCGCTGTTTAACCATTTCTGGATGAATGGCCTATCGTAAGTCTGCAAAATTATGAAAATAAAAACATCTGTCACAGGAGAATCAGGAGAGAATTACAGCGCCTATATTCCTTTAATTTGGTATTGTTAATATAGTTTTTAGATAATTAATAAACTTATTTATTT